CTCCGAAAATAAAGTCAGCTGCCATTAGGCATTAGTACTGCCTAGCCCTAGGCATAGCACCTGGACTTGTAAAAATTAATTTTGCAAATTTTCAATCATGTTTGCATGTACGCGCTATCAAGCCATGTGGCGTGAACAGACTGCTTGCCGTGAAAGGTAGCGCGAGTCGTACGCGCTCGCGGACGTGTCTGACACTTGAAGCGAAAAGATTTTTTTGGCGGGTAGTCGGCAAAAATTTTAAGTGACGGTCCATTTACAGTCCGTTTCAAAAAGATTTACAATCCTGGCGATCGCCCGCGGAGTTTGGCGTCTTACCGCATGAGCACTCGAGCGCTGCCTGGAAAAACTCACTGTGAACTCGAAGAAATATTCCGCGCGAAAGCAGGAAAAATGACAACTCACTCACGTTGACACAGTCATGTACGTCTGGTTTACAACAAACGAGTTCTTCCTCGTATCGATAATGGAGTCAGAGAGGACATGTCGAAACGAAAGTGTTGTAAATGTTGACGAGCTACAACGAGCTGCATGGGTCCGAATTCGTTTCGTGACCAAAATAGTTTCTTTGAGCTACAATGCAATTTACTCACCGTGTGACGAAAACGATATCGACACGGACTCATTCTCAAGGCCATGACTTGGCAAACCTATCCATGTGACTTCGACATTTTAAGAAAAACATACGCTTGTGAACGCTGATGGAAGACGGCGTTGGCTGCTAAATTCAAATAAATTGGCGATCTTGAAATACAAAAATAAATCTCAAAAAGCTACAGCGCGATCACGGATGACTTCCATTATAATTCACTCACACCATTGCAGTGTTGTGGGTGTGTTCACATGGCGTGAGCCAGTGAAGTGTCAGTCAGTTCGGCAGGAAGCGCGAGCTCTAACAACAAGTCGTTTGGTGCAGCCATCTTCTTTGTCTTGTACCAGCTTGATCACCAAAACAATGAAAAAATGTTTGACTTGAGGTTAGGTTGGGATTTGAACTCACAACTTCATGGTCAGCAGACAGCATTCATAACCACAAGGCCAAAAAGGAAAGAAAAAATCGTGGGTTTTGATAAAAAATCGATACTGGCTTCCTGGGCAAATTATAAACCATGGGAAAAGGCCGGAAACCTGGCCGAAATTCTAACTCCTTAACGGTGGGTCCAATTGTTCCGAAACCTTCACAGAAGAATTTGCCGTGTCCTAACAAGCCATTCGATGTACTTTGTTGTCCAAATTTCCCTTATCCTCATACTTTTTAAGACCCAAACCTGATTGTAAATCTTTTTGAAACAGACTATATGGCGCGCTCACACTGGGACCAAAACCAGCGTCCATGTGGCCATGCGGCCAAGTTGCATGGCAACGGTATGAACTTGATCAAAACGTGGCGGCCACGTTTCAAATCGTGACCGCGACCTCCGGAGGGGGGTGCCATGACTTTGCGGCAACATGATCGTAGACGTGAAGCGTACTTGTGTACAACCGGGCCTGAAGTATGTTCAATTTCTCAAATTCCGGTGTGTTGATTCATGAAACTCGGCGGTTGTCGATGTCATCCTTGACATTTTTGCCCATTTTTGAAATTTTGTAGTTGTGGTCCTGCACGCACGCACCGCCATATATGCATTCTTTCAAATTTCTTTGCCTTTTTTGGACCCTTTTTTGGCCCTGTCAATTTTGTTTTTGTTTTTGTAGTTGTTTCGTTGTCAGTTGACCGGGTCAGTGACCAATTTCTACAGTGTACTCGTTCAATACGATGGCAGCTTGGTCTGGCTTTTCGGTTTGGGAAATCATCATTCTCTATTTCTCTGCGATGATAGAATGCCATATTTCAAGACATTTCGGTTACATATCATCGAAAAATACAGTTCTCATCTCGGCAACAGACAAAAGAAACCACTACCGGAATTTCCACTAAACTGGCACTTGCTCTGACCACGAGGTCAGGAAAGCGAAAGCGCTTGGATGGCAGCGGCAGCCCCTCAAGAGTCCAAACCTATTGCATGAATTATTTTTCGTCGACTTCGAGAACACGAGCCACGAGGGGACTTTCTCCAACAACATGCAACATGCGAAAAATTACATCCAAAAGGGGCCACAACTTTATTAGGAAATGCACGAACTCTCTTGGATACGAACTGCAATTCGAAAAGTTTGTGTGACAACTTCACGTCTACTCGTGTACGAGGCCTAGTGTGAGCACGACTGCCACGTTTCTGCATTTTGCTGACGCATGGACGCGTGTTCATGGTCGCAGTGTGAGCGCGCCCTAAGTCCTTTCCCATTCAAAAAGGGCTTTCAAATGCAAGATCATTATCGTGAAGCAACTTGGAAGAATTCGTATGTGTGCGAAGTGTATCGGGGGATGCATGCCGGGCGATAGTGCGGGTTCGAATCTCAGGTTTTGTCTTTAAAAAAGTTGGAAAAATTTGTAAGAATTTATACCATTTCTATGCTTTTATTGTCTAGGTCATCAAGGCAAAAAGCATAGCGTAGGGCCATGAGGTTCCAAGCTCTCTCGTTATAAGCACTATCGCGATGTAAGCGGGGATGCCTTCTTCACTTGTGCCATCCAGGATGATGATAAAGAGAACGACAAACAGAGGGCTCAGAATCTTCAGGAACAATGCTGTAGAGCACAATAGCTGTGATCGATAGGATGCGCTACAGAAAGGTGAAATTTACTAGTTCATTCTTAATAGCTGGTGAGTTGTCTCGTCATTTCTGAATAATCAGTCTGGAGTGGTTTGACCAGTTTGGTCCTAGCAAGTTGCCTTCAAGGTGCGTCAGCCTTTTCTGTCTTGGGCTCTGTTGCGCCAGGTCTCAAGATCGGTCTGCGTCCGAGTGGGACTACCATGGCTGGTCAGATCGGCGATGACGGTTGTTGCAAGGGTGGTACGCGGCCGACCGTGGAAGCGTTGTGCAGCTGGATCGCTGGCCCGGCGGAAGTACGCACCCATAGCGAGTTGTACCGGGGTGTCGACTGGTGAGCGCAAAACGTGCCCGAGGTTCCGATCCCTAGGCGGTTGATGGTGGCGCTTAATGGCTGGGTTTTGCACCTGCTGTACAGGGTCTCGTTCGACATGTGCCTGGGATGATGCATGTCAATGATTGAGCGGAGCTGTCGTCGGTGGAAACTGTCCATTTGGGCCATTTCAGTTTTGGTAAGACCCCAGGTGCCACTGTTGTAAGTGAGGACAGGTATGATGTACCGGTATGCCTCATACAGTCGCAGCCTGAGACGCTCGCTGATTTCACCACGTCGGAACCAGATAAGGTACATCGACCGGAATGCGCAGCCAGCAATGATGAGATATCTCGCTCTTTAAAGTGTTCCTGAAGAGCGGATGAGGAGAAGTCCACGCAATATTACCAAGTGAATATATCACTGTACATCCTCTCTTAACTCTTGTCAACGGCGGCCGATTTTCACAAACGGTTTACAGTTGGAAAGGTGTTGAGCTCAGCTCTCCAGTGTTATGAAGTGCTTTGTGATAGGAAAAGATTTAATCGAGCGATGACGAGTAGAAATTGAAACATAATCAAAAATATGCTTTCTGGCCATTAGTCTTAGCTATATTTGCTCGGAACCCGCCTTATTAGGGGATTTCTGTTTGCTGCAGCACGCGCGCTAGCCATCAAACAAAGCGCTTGGGTCTCAGCTTTCCAGTGCAGTTTGAAGTTTGGTTTAGTCTGACAATTTAGTATGAAATGAATGCACCGAAACTATCGAAAATATAATGAACATCCAATATATGAGCCGCAATCAGCAAAAACGACCCTTAGAGGTTTCGTAATTTTTTAAAGAAAAAGGTCGATTTGTAACGTTCAACGATTTTTGATCGCGCTGCGAACAGCGCGACGAGTTCTTCTTGAACTCCTTGCTTGAATTTATTTGAAGTTAGTTAGTTGAAGTGGTGTCGAGTGGCGACTCGGGTGTTCCTTGATCTTGTTGCGATGCTTGCGGACGCCAGAGCTGTTCACAGAGCACACGCGGAAGTCATTGTGTACAGCTAGCTCGAGCCTGGTGGGGAGTGGATGCTGAAGTAGCCGCTGAAGTTCAGAGTGAGGATGAAACGTTCTTTGGTTCCGACATTGATGTCAACAGCAAGGCCGAATCGCAGCGTCATCTCCTGTTGCGTTGCGGCTCAAGGTGGTCGATGACTCGTCAGAGTCGGAAGATGAGGTGTCATCACCTGAGGTAAATTCTGAGTCTGGGGCTAGTGACGGAAGCGACGTCGTGTCGTCAGCTCCGGAGGAAGAAATGGAAGACATTGCGGAATGACTCCACGCAGGATGCAGGTGCAAAATAATAAGTCGATCATGTCACTCTTCAGTTATTCTTTGTCATTCTAGCTGCTTACTGCACTATTTCAAAGGTATTCAAAGCTGCCTACCCACCTTAGAATGCTGAATATTTATTGTACACATACATCGTACACATACATTGCACCAATTTGGAGTATACCTTGTATATTGGTGTATACACCCGTTTTGAATCGGAATATTGAACTTTTTCTTGGCTGAGGTCCTTCAGTAGATGTGTTTCAACAAATTTCTAACCAAAAAGGAATTTTGAAAAATTTGACCCTAAGGGCTGTTTTCGCTGGTTGAGGCCCATATGCCAAAATTACCTTTGACGCTAAGGCGGAAAAAACTTAGAAAAGAGATGCAACATCTGCCTAGATCCAAAGTCTGCACGCAGAAATCTTAGTATCGAAGGTGTTCACAAGTAATTGATCTTGAATAAAAAAGATGGGTGGATGCAGCATGCGAAGACCTTATGGCGGAATACATGAGCGAAACCGTGCGTCATAGAGAACAGACTGGAAATTGTACTATATTAAGAAAAGCAAAGGCGGAGTACCCAGCTAGTTAAACGATTATTTCCCATGTACAACCGCATCATATACGATTTGATAATACGTCAAAAATAAGACGACTGATTCCCCTTTAAAAGTGACTTACAGAATCATTATCTACGTTCACATTTGCTAGTTTGTTTGCTTATTTCAAAGCGACACTTTTATTTTTCGAACAATGGCAAGCAGGTTTCCTGATCACGTCGAGGAGAAAAGGTCTTCTGAGGGCAGTGATGGTCCTGGTCCTGCGGAGGAAGTTCCCGCGTCCAGGCCCGTTAAACCGTCAACAGGCGACTGTGGCCCTGTTCCACCCGAGAAAAGGTCTTCCCAGAGCAGAGAGGGTCCTGGACGTGTGCAGGAAAATGAAAAGTCCAGTCCCGACGCGCCGTTAATCGTTCGGCATGGCCGTGTTCTACCCGTCAGAGAAGGAGAAGAGATACCATTCAGGACTTGTTGGAATGCGGACTGGAATTATATAAAGTGGAGGGGGATCGAAGATAGAGTATGCATAGATCACTGGCTAGGTCGCTGCTATATGACTAGAGCATTTTGTCCGTTGGTACACTACAGAGGTAAGGAACTGGTATGAGAAGTACCACATTTTTCTTGTATTCCAAGCGAACTATTCTAGAATTCTGGAATCTGTTTATGTATTTCTAGTTTTCTCTAAATCTTTTTGCCGACAGATGCGTTAGCCCCATTGGTGATCACCTATGGGGTACATGCGAGCTGTTATTATTATTATTATTATTATTATTATTATTATTAATATTATTATTATTATACGACCACACCGACGGGTTCTTTGGTCATGAGATCAGTACAGCGTTCTGGGATATGAAAGAGACTGCCACCTTTGTGGATTTGAGGCGGGAGGGCCAGGAACCATTCATTCCAACACAATGCCGACCTTTAGAGTGTATAAAACTTGCCTGCACTTAACGAACTTTATTCTGTTTTGGAATCTTGTTATTGCTTTTGCTCGTTTAGTGAATGACGATTTAGTTGGCCTACCAGTATCGTATGACCCTGTGCCGGAGAATCCGCCTATGCAACTAAGAAATCCACGTAAGATATGCGCGTAATTATATCACTAGAACTAACGGAGGCATCATAAAATAAATTATGATGCATTTGCGAAGTTCAAAAAGGATTGCTGTTGTTTTTGGGGCTGGAATCTCCCCAAATTTGGTGACTTTTATTAATTATGTTAGTGGCAGAAGGCTGTATTTTCAAACTTTTGGAACAGTTCCGAAATGCAAGGGGGTACTACCTAGAACTACCGCGCTGCAACATAGTATTATGACTCCGCATATTACAGGCATCCATAAGAGGGCAAATTTGGCTTGCAACCACCCGTGAATAACGTAACGAGAAAAACGTTTGGGAGCAAGGAGATGGGGGACCATGAAGGTGGTACATATGGAAATGCTACTACGCGTATTTCATGTGTAGGTATGGTCATTATCGCTATCCTAAATCCTGTCGAATAAGACAAGTTTGTTCACCCCAGCTTGGAAAATGATCCGCTAAATCATCTGCAGCACAGAACGATATGAAGTGCCAGTTCAGTTATAATATTCTTGGAACGTTCTTGGAGTTTAGGTTGGTCTGGCGGAAGCCATGTTCACCAAGTGTAGAGTCGCTGCCTATAAAGCATTTCGTTGAAAAATTCTGGGCAGGAGTTTGGGAATGAATACGAGGAGAGTGACAGGATCATTGTGGGCGAGGAATTAGAAGTGACCGAACACAGAGACACATAGTTATATGCTCAAGATAAAGATGATTGAAAAACTAACTGCCCCGGCTTCTCGTTGAGTCTGATACAGGATCCGAGTCGAGGGAGCAAGCGGATAACGGTGGTGATAAAGCTGTGGAGCCACACCCAAAACAGAGCATCAACCTCCCACACTCCGGCAGGATTTCATTCATGAAACTGTGTTCTCTGGCAAAGTTGGTAGATAGTGTAAGATGTGTTGCATCCAGCAAACCCGAACGCACGCTACCGTTTTTGCTTCGGAAGTTTGCCGGCTTTTTCGGGATATTCACAATTTTGAAGATGGGGTAGATGCATTATTTCCAGAGAACCAGATCGGAATATGATCTATGTCTCGACCAAGTGAACAAGGTAGGATCGAAAAGGGAAAATTGGAGGAGACTCTACCTGAAATGAAGGCAATTTCATGGCACTTGTTTCGAAACTTTTCGCAAGAGGCGTCCTCTGTACCCGCAATAAGCTGTCGACGGCCCTTCGACTGGGATAAGAATGAAACCGATATATTAATAATAAAAATTAGATAACTATAAATAATTTTAATAATATGGATGAAGGCCGCAGACATCAAGCAACTACGTTACTTGTTTTACATGTATTGCTGTGTATTTTATAACAAAAATATTATTGAAAACCCAGAATCGATTTTCTCCTTCCTATCATCAGTGGGAAAAAACGGAACTAAGGATAAAACCAAAGAAATTGAAGTTAAGTACTGTAAATAGAAAGGTGTTAGAAATAACATTTAAGATACAAGAGCAATAAAACCACTAGAGGAAACGCAAAAAAAGGTAACAAGATTACATAACCAAAGGCGAGAAGGCACTGAACGAAGTGTCAACCTACGAATACAACTTCAGTGCAACAACGTGCTCTTTCTGCTTACACAAAACAGGCTTATGAATCCGTATACAAACTGCCTCAAAGACTTTCAACTGTTGGAACTACTCTGCTACTTGAGGTTTGATCACGAAGATTTTTATCCAGAAACGATGGCGAACGGAATTATGTGTACCACCTCGAAGTATGAGTAGCGACACCACTTGCTCCTTTCACTCCCAGATGTATTTATCACAGCAGTCAAAGAATGACCAACCTTGCTCAGACAAATCCAGCAAGGTGGTGAGGCAGCAGCCATTTCTCGGGTAATTGACTGCATGACAAGCTACTATTCTTCTATTTTCCGACTAACGAGATGTCGCCCTCGCAGCTGCTCATTTCCAATAAAGTGCGCCCGCAATTGGTTCCTCCTTTTAAAAGGTACACTGGTAACCTAAAGACTATCGTTTTTGCACATATTGCCAAAAACAATACTAAACAGGCATGTTTAAGTCCGGTGGAGTGATATGATGCCTCCGGTATTTATAGGGTAGTTGAAATTTTGGTAGTAGGGTAGTTGAAATTTTGGTAGTTAAATAGTCGAGGCATGTCTATCAGTTGATAGACGTGGCATGTCTATCGGCTATTTAAATTTACGAACACCAGCCATGCTGACACGGCAATGCGTGCAGTGTCATATCCGCGAATGTAGTTAAAATAATCAGGAGCCTATATTCAAACTTCGTCAGCATCGTCAGTATCTTGTCCAACTCGATGGTGAATTTTTCTCTCGTTGGAACAGAACCACACCCTTACGCATACACAAACATCCACACGCATGCACACAAACGCACACACACAAACATTAACACACAAACATTCACACACAAACAATCACACACAAACATTCACTCCGACTAAACAGAAGGTTTCCATATGCTTCTTTGCAGTGGTTTTCTTTAGACAATACTACTGAACTATATCTTCTCACACATAATATTATGTTCTTCCTTCATCTTCTTTTTGTCGTACAGCGAACGCTTTTGAAGAAGATATCATCAACGACATCATTGCCGAAATGCTAGATGCTGTGGAATTGTTATAAGTCATCACCCCGAAATGTTGCATTTCGTGACGTCTTAAAAAAAGTCTTGGTCACAATAAACACATCATAACGTCAGCTGTCTTAGTCTAGAGCTCAATGCCGAATTTATGTCGGACTTTTCCTGTTGAACATGCATAACGGCCAAAGTCTTTGTCCGTATTATCGAGAACATTGTAGACTGAGTGTTGCCATTAGACATTCATCTCTCACGTGTTCGTTCGTATTTGGTCGTTCGTATTTCCGCTACATGTATCTATCAAAAATATAAATAATTGTTGCCACCAATTTTGTTCTCTTGGTTGCAATAATGAAGTTCCGAAACTCGTGGTGCCATTCCTTTTTACTGAAGATACAGCCTTCTCGTAACATGAGGGGAGAGAAGTAGTTGTACCACTCGACAATGGAAAATAGGATTACTAAAAAGAGTTGACATTGGTCAACATTTGGCCTACTTGAAACGTACTTCAGGAATTTCAGATTTCTCTGTAGACCAATGGCCACTAAACTGCCAGAAGATTCCCCGAACGCGTGATCATGATAATTATACATCTTCCTGCCGTCTTTCTTTTATGTTGCCAATAGGGATCGTTGGTTGGTCCGAAACCAGATAGTCTTCACAGTATTCCTCGAACCAGTGTATCTTGCGCATTCTGTAACATCCGGAAACCTGGGCATAACACACTCGAGCCTTTCTTGCTGTTTCGTTGGTGTTTAGACAGTCTCCATGATTGTGTAGAGCTATGTATGTATTGAGTTATTTGAGTTCGGTGTCTAAATAGTAGGATTCGACATCCTAAGTCACTATACTCAGAATGGCACACGATCAGCTACCCCATTACGGGAAAATTAACCTGAAGACTTATCAGCGCGGAGTGAAAACACGAACTGAAAACTACGAGCGCAAAGAACAAAATGAGATGATTGCCTAGATTACATAAACTATGGTTGTCAAAAAATGCTAGTACCTAATTATTTTGAAACTCGGATGTTGAACCATAAATAAATGTTGAAAGGAAAGGGACATATGGATACGAGTGCGGAGTTGAAGGCAGGAGCTAGCCGTGCAGTGTAAGCGCGGAGTGTGTGGCTGGTGTGGGCAGGTGGTGAGAAGCAATGCGTTTGGATGTTGTAGACAGGAGGCTGTATAGCCAGCAGTGTGATATTAGCGCAGTGTAAATGTATATAGCTGGTGTGGGCAGGATGTTATGAGCAAGGTGTGTGAACGTGAATGGGGTGGGCAGGAGGCTGTGGAGACATGTTCAGGTGACACCGTGTTTTTTTTGGAGATAATTGTTCTTGTGTCGGCGCTTGGATACTACTTCAGAGCGCTTGTTGAGGCTGGATAGTGACCCTAGCGTCTTCAGGATGTGATATTTTTCTCTGGTACAGACGGAGCACCGCTACGTGATGTTGGAGTATGACCGGGCGCGATCTTTTATCCTCCATTCCACTTCGTATTGGGCGTTGGATTTCTTCAGGTTCCAGATGTAGTTGGATTTCTTCAGGTTCCAGATGTAGTTGGATTTCTTCAGGTTCCAGATGTAGTTGGATTTCTTCAGGTTCCAGATGTAGTTGGATTTCTTCAGGTTCCAGATGTAGTTGGATTTCTTCAGGTTCCAGATGTAGTTGGATTTCTTCAGGTTCCAGATGTAGTTGGATTTCTTCAGGTTCCAGATGTAGTTGGAGAACTCAGTACTGCTGGAGTACTTCTCGTATCTTGTTGTTGTCATGTGGTTGGCATGCCGTGACTTGAACTTTGGCGCCGACATAACGGTGTATTCCTTCTTGGTGGGGCCTGACGTTATGGATGCTACATATATCGATTGATTGATTGATTGATTTTTTATTTCACGGATCCTCCAGAGGCAAATAGATGCCTGTCGAAGGGAGTCTCCTATATAAGTATGGAAAATGAGAAAGTATGTTCGTAAGGGAGAAGAGGTAGAAGATACATTAGAATATAGAGTACAGAAGAAGTAAATTCAGTACTTCGGGTAGTACATTGCATGCTTATCATAATGAGAATTAGAAAAGCAGCATTGCGGACTACTATAACTGACATATACACAAACTATTGAAACTATCATAGATGTGGTTAGCCTAGACACAAAAGTCAGGAATACCTTTCAAAGAAAACATAGATTGCGAATGATACCGACGAACAGCAATACTAAATTTCGCTGTTGTAGAGAGTGAACGAATATCTTCAGGAAGTTTATTCCAGGCAACACTCAAAGAAAAAAGGGTTGATTTACGAAAGAAGGTGCCAGCTTTAGGAAGAATTATGGATGAAGGGTGACGACTGCTTTGGGAAGAGGGTAGCTGGAAGTGAGACAACAAGGAGGGGTATTGGGAGAATACATGGTGGAAATAGACAAGGCCAAGAATCTGCCGTCGCCATGCTAATGATTCCCAAGAGGACAGAACATTGAGGTCTTCTTTGGAAGTCGTCCAGTCAGGCCGACGCTTGAGTTTACTATTTAAGTATGCTCTAGCAGCAGTAGCCTGCAGTTTATCAAGGGTTGTGGACATATTGGCTGAAACGGAAAACATCCAAACGGGAACAGCATATTCAAGGAGGGGACGAACATAACATTTATACAAAAGATTCACAGCAGGAAAAGGAAGGAAGTTGGACATGTGATTTAAAAGAAAAACCCGACCTCGAAATTTGCTGGTAATGTGTTGAATATGTTGGGACAGATTGAGTGAAGGAGTGAGGATGATGCCCAGATGGCGGTGGGAAGAGGGCTGGGTCAGGAACGTACCGGCCATGGTGACGGTCCTGGGATCAGGTGGGTTTGATTTAGGTCTGCAAAAGGGAACATGGACACATTTGTTAGCATTGAAAACTGCTTCAGCTTTATGGGACCAGTTCACACATCTATCAAGGTCTAGTTGCAGGGAGGCAGTGTGCGCGGCGGGTACGACAGTAGGCGGAGAAACGCAGACCATGTTGGAATCATCCGCAAACAGAGTCAGATCGCTGGATTGGGGAATGCTGGGAGGGAGTTGATAGAAAGGTTGAATAATAGAGGGCCTAGGTGGGAGCCTTGTGGCACACCAGCGGTGAGCGACATATGGGTTGATAAGGAGGTTCCGACCCGCACAGACATCGATCGGCCTTCCAGGAAGTCCATCAGCCACGCGAATGAGTCAGGTGCACACCAACCGGACAGACATGAGGCTAGGAGGCGATGGCTGGTACGATCAAATGCCTTCGAGAAATCGAGAAAGACGGCATCACACTGGGCCCGGTTATCAAATGCAGAGCTGACAGTTGATGTGATATGCACAAGTTGGTCAACCGTGCTTCGGTGGTGGCGAAACCCGAACTGTTTCGGCGACAGTAGTTTGTGTTTCGCTACAAACGCGTACACCTGGCGGCTGATTAACGCTTCGTAGCATTTTGCCACACCATTCAGCAGAGATATCGGCCGGTAGTTAGCAGGGTCATTGCGACTTCCCTTACCCTTGTAAATTGGGGTAACGATTGCAACTTTCCACTCAAGGGGTTGGGATCGGTAAGTGGTGCAGCGGTTAAAGAGAGCAGTGAGGGATTGGGCGAGCACTTCTGCTGTCTCTCGTAGGATCCTGTTAGGAAGACTGCCAGCTGTAGACTTTCGCACACTTAGGGTCGACAGTGCCTTGAATACTTCCACGATAGACAGAGGGCGGATGGCAAATGTTTCCGAAGAAGAAGGCATGGCGAGATCACGATGATCTGCATCCGACGACGGTGTAGCTTGACTATTCTTGGCGAACTGTTGACAGAAGATGTTCGCTTTCTCAGGGTCGGTAACCGCTAAGGTATCGACTCCTTGTATATCAGGTATAGCGGTGTGAGGACAATTGATGTGGCACATTTTCTTGACTCTCTTCCACCAGTCATAAGATCCTCGATCTGCATGAAGGCCTTCTGACATCTGGTCGTAGAAGTGACGTTTAGCTTTACGGATGGCAGCGACGAGGCAGTTCCTTGAAATGCGATAAGCAGCCCAGCACTCAGGGGTATTGACACGTTTTGCTGCAGCAAATAGTCGATCTCGACGTTGACGGAGGCGATGGTGCACAGAGGTGAACCAAGGCTTTCCATAACGATTTGTTCGTTTTCGAACCTTCGGAACAAAAGATAATATGGCTGTGTCAACTAGTGTTCGCCAGGAGACCCATGCTTCATCTGTACTACTGGCTTCTTGTACAGCAGCGAGAAGAGGGAGGCTCCAAAGGTGGTTATTAAGTGCGGGCCAGTCTGTGGCTGCATAGTTGTTCACGAGCAAATCAGAGTGCACTGGTTGCTGGGAACGAGTCTGTATTGCGAGATCAAATACCACAGGACAGTGATCAGAAACAGGGGGAAGTGTGGTGAGGTTGTGGATGAGGAATGGTTGGTTACAAAGAACAAGGTCAAGGAGAGAAGAGCTCTGACCTGCGGCGGAGAAACGTGTTGGGCGGTCGCGTACAAGTTGTGTAAAACCAGTATCATCCAGCAGTTCGACAAGGCATCTTCCAGCAGCAGTGTTCGGGTCCTGCCTATACCATTCGTTATGCCGAGCATTAAAGTCACCGAGGATGATAATGGAAGCCGTAGTGTCCGTAATGGAAGAGATGGACTCACGCAAGCCAGAGAGGAAGGTTGAATGATCCTGCCTTGGTGGCCGATAACAGCAGAAAATATAGACATCTTTGTGGCCATTTTTAAGTTGAATGCATAGGATTTCAAGGTTGGTGTTGGCAGGCTCGAGGTCTGCTCGTCTGACGTAGGCGAGTCCTGGTCGGAGTAAGAAAGCAACACCACCGCCACGCAGAGCGACATGAGATGGGCGGTCTCTTCGCACTATGTCAAAAGCGGCAGTTGGCAATAATACAGAGTTAGGAATTTTCTGAGTTAGCCAGGTTTCGGTGATGCCTAATATGTCCATGTCTGAAGTACCAAATATGTTATTAATTTCATCGGCCTTTGGATACCAGCTGCAAGCATTGGTTGTGGCTAGCCGCATATGATGGGGATGTTTGTTTGGTATGAAGGCTGAGGTATCGTATGGTGATGGGAGAGTGAAGGTAGGTGCATCTGGGTTCAGTTGCCCTGACACACTGTTAGATGATGGTGTCGATGTGGTCCTAGTGGGAAAAAAGATGGGTGCGTGTGGATTCAACATCACAGTTTATGATTTCTTGGGGAGGGGTGGGTTCTTGAACTTCCATTCTCGTGCTGTTACATGCTCGGGCCAGAAATCGTTTTCCAGAACATTTCTTTCGTCATGCTCAGCAA